GAGAAGAATGTCGAGGCCAGGCAGGGACTAACGACCTCTCCATTAACCTTACTGTGCTCTTTCGACTCCGGTCCAAATGTCGGTCCCCGTTAGGCAATTGGCTTTGACAGGAGCCCTGCTAATCACCACTTCCTAACCTTTAATTTCTAGATAAAAGCAAGAGAAGAAAATGAGTGGATTTTTCATTTTCCAGAGAGAAAGGGCTAATGGTCATCTTTGAAATATATACATCTCATCCATTACAGGAGTTATTACCGAGTCCTTACTAGACTATCTGGCCATTCAGTTCCTAATTGGCTATGCATTTTGCTTCTTCAGATTTGTCTATTATATTTTATTTGTAGGGTTTTATACATTTGGTGTTTTGGCTGGATCTTATACTATACTTTTGGGTTTTATTTTTATTTTGGTTTTTTGGTTATTTTGTTGTTTTCTCCTTTTTTAATAGGTTTTTTTTTTTTCAAGACAGAGTTTCTCTGTGTAACAGAGCCCTGGCTGTCCTGGAACTTGCTCTGTAGACCAGGTTGGCCTCAGACTAACAGAGCTCCACCTGCCTCTGCCTCTTGAGTGCTGGGATTAAAGGTGTGCACCACTGTGCTGGCTTTATGCTGTGTTTTTTTTTTTTTTTCCGAGACAGGGTTTCTCTGTAGCTTTTGGAGCCTGTCCTGGAACTAGCTCTTATAGCCCAGGCTGGCCTCGAACTAAGAGATCCGCCTGACTCTGCCTCCCAAGTGCTGGGATTAAAGGCGTACACCACCACCACCTGACTTATAGTGTGTTCTTATTGGTTTTCTTTTACATCATTTTTGAAGTTTTAATTATGGGAAGGTGTGTATGTGTGTGCACATATGTGCACACACACTCACATGCGCACACACACACACACACACACACACAGGTGCCCTCGGAGGTCAGAGTTTTCAGATTCCTGGAGATGGTTACAGGTAGTGTATGAGCTATATGATATAGTACTGGGAACTCACTCTGTAGACCAGGCTGGCCTCGAACTCAGAGATCTGCCTGCCTCTGCCTCCCGAGTGCTGGGATGAAAGGCGTGTGCCACCACTGCCTGGCTTCTACCTGTGGTTTTTAAGAAACTTGGGGCCAGGTATGGGGCCGTGCAGGCCTTTAATCCCAACACTTGAGAGGCAGAGGCAGGTGGATCTCTGTGAGTTCGAGGCCATTGGTCTACAGTACAGCCTGTCTTGAAAAACAACATCAGCACCACCAGCGCACTGGCTCTTACAGAGGACTTGGTTTGGATTCCTGGCACCACATGGTGGCTCACAAGTGTCTGTGACCCCAGTTCCACAGGTGTTGCCTCTTCTGGCTCCAGCCAGACACATGATGCATAGACACACACGCAGCAAAACACCCATAGATAAAATAACTATCCCCCCGCAAAAAAAGTTGAATTGGATTTACAGTTCCTGATGGTTGAGTCCATGCTGAGAGCAAAGGCACTGATAGCACGGAGCTCACGTCTTGAACCACAGACAGAAAGCAGACAACGTCCTCTGAAACATCACCCCTTCCAGGTGACATATTTCCTCCTGATCCTCCTCAAACACCCACCAACTGGGGACCAAGCATCCAAATGCCTGGGACTTACAGGGACATCTTCAAGCCAGCACGGGGACAAGAGATGCGGCCTCAGAAACAAGTCATAAATAATGGGTTCATAGTCACTGAACTCCCAGGGTCTGCCTCTGACCCCAACACTGGACTCAGCTCACAAGTATACAGAACGTCTCCTGGCTTTCTTTACATGAGTGCCAGGGAGGCCAAGCTCAGGTCCTCATGAGTGCATGTACTTCACCCACTTATCCCCAGCTTATTAATTATGAGCATATGGGTCCATCCTGTCTCAGTTAGGGTTTTTGTTTTTTGAGACAGGGTTTCTCTGTAACTTTGGCGCCTGTCCTGGAACTCATTTTGTAGATCAGGCTGACCTTGAACTCACAGAGAACCACCTGCCTCTGCCTCCCAAGTGCTGGGGTTAAAAGTGAGCAGCACCACCACCTGGCACAGCAACTCTTACAAGGAAAACGTCTAATCGGGGTGGCTCACTTATAGTTTTCAGAGGTTCAGCTCATTATCATCATGGCGGCATGCAGGCAGACATGGTGCTGAAGGAGTAGCTTAGAGTCCTGCATCTTGCAGGCAACAGGAAGTTAACTGAGACACTGGGTGGTGTCCTGAGCATGGAAAACCTCAAAGCCCACCCCTACAGTGACACACCTCCTCCAAGGCCACACCCACTCCAACAGAACCACACCTAATAGTGCCACCCCATGTGAGCATATCGAGGCCAAATACATCCAAACTACAGACAGTCTAACACAGCTGAGGTCAACATCAAAGTCCTGAACTTAGGTAGCCTGAGCTAACAGACTGCCCGGCAGGATCATTAACTTCATTGTCTTCCAGTGGGGCACAGCTAAGGTAAAGTTCACAGCCTCAAAGGCAGGGCAGAGAAGACTCCAGGTGAATCTAAATCACTAGCACATCTCTGTTCTAGAAAAAAATTTCCAAGACCAGTTTCTGGAGCCTCTCTGGCCTTTCAGCTGGACAGCGGCCACCAGTACACGGACCCAGCACTGGTCCCTAGGCTGCTGTGCAGAAGTGAGATGCGGCTCCATCCATCATGTTGCCGTACTCAGCTCGTAATTACGGCCGGTGGGGCTCAGCTCTGAGGACCACAGAGCCAAGTCGGGAGTCACAGTTGGAGTCCGCTCCCTGGCGTCCAGAGAAGAGGATGAAGCTCATCCTGGTGAGCCAGCCCTGGGCTTTTCCCCCATTTTAGGCACGACTCTCAGAAGCTGACGTAATTGTAGCTGCAGAGCTTTGTGGCTCACACCTAGGCAGTCGTCCCAGCCTCTCATCACACACAGGAAGAAAGATCCACCCACTGCAGTGACCTTCAGCCACTGCCAAGGTCTTCTGAAGAGGGAGGAGGTTTAAGTCAGGGTTTCACCCTGAACTACGCAGCCCAGGCTGATCCTGAACTCACAGCAATCCTCCTGTCTCAATCTCCTGAGGGCAGCAATCACCGCCCTGAACCACCCGGTCTTTTTTTTTGGTAGTCTGCAAGACAACTCAGTGAGTAAAGGCGATTGCTCCCAAGCCTGACAGCCCTGGTTTGATCCCTGGCCACACGGTGGACTAGAGCACGGCCCTGCAGCCGTCCTGACGCCACGTGCGCAGTGACCAAAAGCTGAGCATCGAGAGCCTTCACACTTGGTGTTTCTCTTAGTGACTGTGGCTCAATAGTTCAAGTGTGTATGACCAGAAAGGATTTCAAGGCTATGAGGGAGAATTAAAAAGTGCTAAACTTGGCAACAGTGATTTCTCCCCTGCTTCCTGGGGAAGACCAAAATCCTGCTTAGCTGGGAGCTCAGTGGCTGCTCGGTGTCAGATCACAGAAACGGAATGGCCTCTCATCTGTTTCTCACTGGAAACTAAAATGAAAAGCTGCCATGACAATTGCGCATTAAGTATTTCACTGGACAAAGTGTGTGTTAAGTTTCAAGCCCGGGACAAGCGGCTGAGGTGTCTATTTAACTCATCAAAGCGGATCTGGCTGCCAGATGTTCTCCCAGCATCCCTCAGTCCCTACCTGTTACAGGGTATGGCTGGCACACACGCCCTCTGCCCCGAACTCTCCAGCCCAGGGGCTGGGCTGCCCTTCCTCAGAAGCTCTTCCCTATATAATCCAGACATTTTGGTAACCTTCCCTTTTACCTTTGGCCTCCTGGCTGCTGCACCTGTTTCCCCTACCCCCTTCTCTCCACATGGCCCAGCTCAGCCTGGTCACGTCCACACTGGATTCTCCCAGATGTCCCTGCCTCTGGCTGTGCTCTGGCTTTTATCTACAGTAAACTTTCTCCACCACACCTATGAGCAGACATGGTCTTCCCCCCTTTCTCTCACTCATCATGGATACTGGATTTTGGGGGTACCTGTCTCAGAAGTCTAGGTAAGCTAGGCAATGTGGTACACACCCCAAGTCTCAGCACACAAGAGGCAGAAAGAGGCGGCTCAATGTGCATTGGAGGCCAGCCTGGTCTGCACACCAAGGCACGGGCCAGCTACGGCTAAACCGTGACTCTCCTCCAAACGGCTGGATGGGGCAGCGCTGCTCAGTGTGATTCTTTTGTTAGATGTCTTTTCTCACAAAGAAAAACTGAAACTACAGGCAGGGAAAAGAAATGTAACAAATTAATATTTCTAATTAAAACTGCTGCAGAGCGAATTTGAATATAACTTTTATAAGCATGTCAGCATGGTGTCAGCTTAACAGCACAACATTAGTTTCAAAATTAATTTTAGCTAAACTATGAGGAATAATCAGGGTGCTGGTTGAGCAGTGTTGCTCACTGGCTTGTGAACTTCAGTGCTGAGTAAGGGGAGGGCCCTATGGCTGCTGGGCAGGCACTCTGCCTCAGGCCTGGAGACTTCTTAGACATCTCATATTAAAACAGACTGGAATAGAGCTGGCTGCAACGGTGCATCTGTAATCCCAGCACTCAAGCGATGAAGACAGGCTGTGAGTTCAAGACCAAGTGGGCTATATGTGAGACCCACTCTCCAAAAGTCAAAAATAAACCGAAGACGCTGTTTGGAACTCTTAAAAATGCAGCCTTGAGCCCTTGAGGTGTAGAGGCAGGAGGATCATTTCAAGGACATTCTTGGCTACACTGCAAGTTTGAAGCTAGCCTGAGCTTACACAGACCTTGTTGAAAAAATTGTGCTGTGTTCACACACACAGACACACACGGATTTTAGTTGTTTTCAACTGAGAGAAGAGAAGCCCCACCTCCCAGCACCAGGACAGAAGCCCTGCTGGATACACTCTGGCAAGCACCATCAAAATTTTTAGTTGGAGGGTTCCCTATGGGTTTCCAATTCCTTATTTCACCTATATTCATAGGGGCCATTACTGAAATTTAGTAATTTTCACATGGCGTGGGAAGAAAAGTTGACTTAAGAAAGTTCCATGCTGCCTGACACTCTTTATTCAGACTATGGGTGCATTTCATGGGATGGCCAGGGCGGGGTTATTTGCAAGAGGAGAAGGTTTTCCAGAAGAAGTTCTTGCAGGGCTTTTTATCCCGGCGTGGGGGCTGCTGGAGAGGTGGGCTTTCCTGTCGCCTAGACACCTCGCTGGTATCCCCTCCGACAAGGGCGCTGGAGCTGGCTTGGGAGGTCCACCCGTGCCACCAGGCAAGGAAAGTCAGGAGGCCGGCCCTCTTCCCTTCCGCAGCTTCCTGTGTTTTCAGAGAAGCAAGGACAAAGCAGAGTGAAGCAAGCCCTGGACTCAGTCAGCCTCAGAAGAGCCCACCGCTTCCTTCCAGACGGCAAGCTTCAAGCTTCTCCTTAACAAACCACATTTCCCTCAAAGGCTGCATCTGGAGAATCATAGAGAAACTGCTCTGTAGAGGGAGACGGACAAATTTAAATTTATTTTATTTTATTTTTGCTAAATTTTGCCAGCCACGGTAGCACGGGCCTTCCTCAGCACTTGTGGGCAAAGGAAGGTGGGTTACTGTGAGTTTGAGGCTAGTCAGGGCTACAGAGTGAAACCTTGTCTTAAAATACCGATGAGTGAATTGCTGCCCCTCCCTTCTAACACTCTTTGCTGAGGTCCTCAGCTCTGAGAGATCTGCCCAGGTGACTGACGGCTCAGACACCCCGGGGCAGACAGGTTCATTTAACTTGCTGCTGTTTTCAGACACCCTGCTGGGTGTTCGGAGACCCAAAGAGGCTAAGGTCTGGTCTTTCAAACTCCTTGGGAAACATCTAGGAGTATTCTGATGATAAACGACCCGCCGGAAACTCAGCTGGTAATTTCAGAGAAAAATCCGTTTCTAATGGTCAACTTTATGTACTCTTTCTTGGAACTTTTTCAAAATTGAAAAAAAATGAGAAAGTAAATCACTTGATGAAATTATGAATTTATACTGTAGAGGAAGGGATGGCAGGAATTAATGTGAGCCAGCGAGAGCATAGCTGTGTACATAAATTATGGCTCTCGCAGTCCGTGTGACCAATACTGGCAGGAGCCGGTCCACAAGCTCAGCCGACAGAAGTCAAAGCGGACACCAGCAGAGAGGAAGGAGCCCCTGAACAGACACAGGCCAGGACAAGCGAGACCAGTGGTCTTAATGGGACATAGTAGCATCCTGGGGTCACACACACAAGTGTACACACACACATACACACACACAGGGCAACTCACTGGGTGGGGACTGTACTCACCCCACTGTCCTGGCCGGTGAGACCACGCTCCAGCGGAAGGGCGGTGGCCGCAGCCCCCCACAGCAGCAGCAGCAGCAGCCCGAAGGCCAACAGCCACTGGCCTCTGGCTCTGCGGCCACCCATCCTCTTCGGCTGTCCTCAGGTCAGTGCTCCGCGGATGGGGTCTTTCTCTGGAGCCCTGGTATTTTAAGCTCCGGTGCCAGCTGTTTGGGGGCCTGCACACGTCCACTGAAAACTTGCATGCCTCTCCACTCATGCCGTGACGCACGAGCCGGAGCAATCAGTTCTCAAAGAAACATTCGTGAGGTTGGATTTAGCCCCTTAATTAAAGACTCAGGACTTTTCCTGTGCCAGAGTGGATCTGCTCTCATTTTAGAACACGTGCATGTGCATTTGCTGTGAGGAAGTTTGGTTTCCTTGTAATTGTGCCTGCAGCAAGCAGGAAGCCATTAGAACAAAGTCGAGCGATTTAACAGAATAGGAAATTAGGCTTGGGTAAAGAAAGAGCTTCAAACGTGGGATCTTACCCATAAGAAAGCAAAGCAGAGGACGGGGATGCGGCTCAGCTCAGCACGTGCTTGTCATGTGTGAGGCTTCGGTTCCATCCCCAGATCAGAAATGAAGTCTGCCTGAATCTGCTAGAGCAGAAGTAATAGGTGCAGAGAGGACTCGGGGACACGGGACAGCAGGGCTTCACCCAATCACAAGGAAGAGCTTGTCCCAGTGTTGGAGGCTGTGGACCCCCAGACCCTCAGGAGTTCCTGATGGCAGGGGAGTGGTTTCTGGTGGGTTTGGCTGGGGCGTGGCTATCAGTTAAGGATCCCTACATAAGCTGCCCTGGTACACAAGAAAGGGGGCATTCTTGTTTCAAGGATGACCCATGTTCCTGTCCCTGTGTCTCTGTCTGTGTGGGTATGTTTTTAAAACTCCAGCCTAGTTCCCGGTACCGTCCTGTAGTACAGGCGCTACATCCCAGCACTGCCCTTTGCCTGGGCCAAACCCTGGTTCTTCAGCCAGACCTTAAACTCACTCAAGTACAGATGCTGATGCAGAAGGCAAGGCATAGGAGGAACCAAGGGCCTTCTGCATCCCGGTGACACTGAGCATAGTTCATGGTCTAGGGCTTTCCAAACTTCCCATGTTAGCAAATGTCACATTCTTTAACTTAGGCCAGTGAGATGGTTCAACAGGTAAGTCTGTCACCAGGCCTGATGGCCTGTCAATCCCCTGGAGCCAGCATGGTGGGAGAGACGAGTGTGCACACCATAGCACACATATGTGCCCACACACAGGTCATGTGTGTTGATGCACACCTTTAGTCCCAGCACTTGGAAATATACGCCTAATTCTAAGATTGGTGGTGCTTATTATTTTGGTCCAGAAAAGGAATGGCCAAACTTGTGAGGCAGAGGTAGGTGGAACTCTGAGTTCAAGGACAGCCTGGTCTATATTCAAGGATACAGCCAGGGTTACATGAGACCGTCTCAAAAACAGAATCACCATGTTTATGGGGTCAGCAAGATGGCTCAGTGGGTAAAGTATTTGCTATACAAACTTGCTAACCCGAGCTCTATCCTCGGAACCTACATGTTGGTGAAAGGTGAGAACACGCTGGTTCTTCAACAAACTTGTCTTCTGACCCGCACACTTGTGCCCCTCCCCCAGACACTTTTCTTTATTTTTAAAATTAAGTGCGCACATGAGGGCTGGGCGGTGGTGGTGCATCCCTTTAATCCCAGCACTTGGGAGGCAGAGGCAGGTGGATCTATGTGAATTCGAGGCCAGCCTAGTATACAGAGCAAGTTCCAGGACAGGCTCCAAAGCTATAGAAAAACCCTGTCTCAAAAAACCAAAAATTTAAATTAAAAAAAAAAAAAAAGACTTGTGGGGACAAATGTATGAATCCCTCAGAGCTGCCCAGACCTGAAACCCATCTCAGGCCACTAGAGACCGCCAGGTCCCAAGGAAGGCTCACACCTAAAGCAAACTGAAGGCCGGATGGCGCCTTCTGAAAGATCACGTCCCTTCTCAACTTCTGGGAATCAGTTTTCTCCTCCAGCATGGGATTAAACTCAGGTCACCATGCTTGACAAATGTCTCACCCACTGAGCTACCTTGCCGGCCCCAGACCACCCTCGGGACCCTACCACTGTATAAGGGAAAGAGCAGGCCCTGAAGTCTATGCGGCCTCCCCTCCCCCCGCACCACTATTTCACACTGTAGCTCCAGACTCTCCCTCAAGCGAACCTCTGCTCAGGAAAGCCAAGGCTTCATTACAAAGGTGCGCTAAAGAATGAGAAACCCCATCCCCAGCACCATCTTTCATGGGTCTGAAAGAACCTTAGCAGCCAGAGCTAAGGAAACAGCTTTATTCACTGTTCAGAGACCGTCACTTGGCCTAGAAAGTAGGCAGTGAAGGACGGCTCACCCCAAACCCAGCAGGTCTAACTGTTAACACGAGCCATCAGCCTTAGCCACAATGCCAGTGTGCCATCCAGATGCCAGCCTCGCCTGTGCCGGGGACAGCACGCGGACACTCTGCAGGAAGCCGCCATTAGATTCTTGAAACTGGCAGCATGAAAAGCTGTGCAGTCACGCGTTTCCTTTAGACGTCTCTACTTATCCCGCAGACGGCCCTTGGTGGTGGGCACACGTCTCTGGGAAGAGAAGTGATTAACTTTCACTGTCCACCACTTCAGCATCGGGCTCCCTGGAGTGACTGCTCTCATCCTCTGGCTTCCTTTTCTTCTTGGCCTTTCGCTCTAGGTTGAGCTGAGCAATCTCTTCATTTTTCTCTGTGATGTATTTTAGCTATGTAGATACATAAAAAGCAAAACTATATTTAAGTCTTTACATCTGTCTAAACTAATTTATAAACCTAAAAATAATCACAATAACTTATGCCTTCTCCAGTATTCCAATTATTAGCACTAAAACTGAACTGAAAACGAAGAGGGTCACAGTTCAGAGTCATCTCCCCGCTCTTGTGGAAAGGAGTTCTTGGGGAGGCTGAGACGGGAAGAGTTATGGTATTCTACATCGTTAGCCACAGTCAGGTGTTCTTGGGGAGGCTGAGACGGGAGGGTTATGGTATTCTACATCCGTTAGCCACAGTCAGTGACCCCGGCTGTGTCAAGTGTTTCACCTAGAAAATGACAGTTTGGTCAAAATGATGTTTTAGATGTGAAAAAATAGAAATTGTGCTCTTCTGCATAACTGACCTGGCAGGGTTCCATCCATCCCTAGCCCATCAGAACTGTGGAACGGCTGGGCCTGGGGGCATACCTGTCGCGTGTTCAAAGCCTGCCTAGGCTAAAAGTCAAGTTCAAGACTGGTCTGTAGGTGGGGAGGGGGAAGGAAAAGGGAGGCGGGGAGGAGGTGGAAATTTCTAATAAATAAATTAATTAAAAAAAGACTGGCCTGTATACACAGCATGCCCCTTGTTTTTTTTTTTTTTTTTAAATAGCTTTTGTTTTTTTTTTATTATGTATACAATATTCTGTCTGTGTGTATGTCTGCAGGCCAGAAGAAGGCAACAGACATCATTACAGATGGTTGTGAGCCACCATGTGGTTGCTGGGAATTGAACTCAGGACCTTTGGAAGAGCAGGCAATGCTCTTAACCACTGAGCCATCTCTCCAGCCCATGCCCCTTGTTTTGTCTCAGAACAGGAACTGAGGCTGGAGAGGGGCTCTGGTTTACAGCACTTGTTACCCTCACAGAGGACCCAGGTTTGATTCCCAGCATTCACTGCGGCTCACAACCACCTGTGACTTCAGTTCCAGGGGATCTGCCCTCCACGGGCACCAGGCACGCACACGGTAGACAGGCACACATGCGGTGCAGTGGTACAGACAGCACCTGACTAGCGTGCACAAGGCCCTACTTTCAATCCCCATTAGGTGGGGGCGGGGTGGGTACCACAAGGAAGCTATCCCCATAGACCAACTAACCCATGACTGGTCTGTGACATCATGTTGTAAATGAAACATGGCACCAAAGTTTTGAGATATTACAAAAAAGGTAAATTATGGAATCCAGAGAGAGCTGATTAGAAAATTTCAAATTGGCTTTGCAAGATCTATCATGATGAAAGGAGGGCTATAAATTACGGGAGGTCTGAATGGTTCAGCCATCTCCAGTTTTTAATGCAAGGTGCCCTGGAGAATAACTACACGCCTTCAAGTGATTAATTGGGAATAATGTATTCCGGGGGGACGAGGGTGAGGAAGAAATTCATCTCTCACCAGTGAATTACTCCGCCTGGCTAAGAGCTTCACGTCCTCAGTGGTAACTGTGCTTCTTTTCGCGTGTCTGCAGAAAGGGCAGAAACACGTCACCAAACTGTGGTGTTAAAGTTAGGACGGGACTTAAAAGTTCACGGCTGGAGGAACAAGGATGCCTAACCCATCCCGTCAGAGTCAAGCCACCAGGCAATCATGACACAGAAATGAGCGAGGTTCCTAGCCAGGACACTGCAGCGACATTTCATCTGTACTCTAATAAACAAAGTCTGCCTGAAGATCTGAGGGTCAAACAGCCACCCTGGTCAGCCTCACAGACAAGGCAGTGGTGACACACACTTCTAATCCCAGTAGCCACACTAGTTTGCCATAAAAACCGGGCGGTACTGGTGCACACCTTTAATCCCAGCCCTAGAGAGGAATATAAAACAGGAGGAGACAGCTCGCAGACACAGTCTCATTCTGAGATTCCTGGGGGCAGGATCGCCGTTTCAGACTGAGGTAGAGGTAAAAGCCAGTGGTTGGCTGCCTTGCTCTTCTGGTCTTCAGGTTGAACCCCAATTTCTGTCTCTGGGTTTTAGTAACCGTGCTACAGGATACCAGCTCCACAGAGGACACAGAGGACAATCTGTCAACTGTGTCTGAGAGTCAGTGTGCTGAGAGCAAAGGGTGAGACGCCGTCTAATGCCACCCTTTCTATCGCAGTCGTCTGTGGGACCACAGACCACGCAAGGTGCACACACAAGGCTGATGGAGAGAATGGAGTCACCATAAGACACGACTCCTCTGCATAAGTAGACGATGGCTGAACGGCCAGGCAAACATCCATGATGCTGGCTCCTGAAGCTCTTCTCCAGGACTGAGTCACAGACAGAGCACCTGCAGCACCTCCTAGAGCCCACTTCCCTGCGAGCTCTGAACCCCCTCAGCACACCCACACCCACTTCCCTGCGAGCTCTGAACCCCCTCAGCACACCCACACCCACTTCCCTGCAAGCTCTGAACCCCCCTCAGCACACCCACACCCACTTCCCTGCGAGCTCTGAACGCCCCTCAGCACACCCACACCCAC